CAGGACACGGCCAAAGAGCCCGAAAAAACTCACAGCAACCTTTAGATCCCAGCCGTAAAAGCCTTTGCGAATACATTGAACACTAAGCCTGTTAGGCAGTACAAAATTGTAGTTACAAAATAATATGGAATATCAGTGCAGCCAATTCCAGCCCAAGGAAACTCAATTTAGAACCAAGCAATCCAGCTGTCAACCAAGAAACGTATCAGGTGGAGTTTTTAAACTTTATTGAAAACAAGAAAAAATAAAACCTAATTGAGAAGAGCAAAATACTTTTAACTCAAAAAAGCAAATTCAGGCACAAGGGCAGTAAGTATAAGAACCACCCACACAAGAAAACAAGGCAACTGCTTTAGCCTAAACACACCAAGAGACCTAAGAGAACAATGTACAGTACTAAGATTTCTGAACTAGTTCAAAGGGAGTTTCTCGCCAGCAGTATGTCATACTAAATGCACAGTTACAAGAATCGGGAGATACTTGGCTCAGTAAGACTACATGGAAGAAGAATTTTGGAATTGTTGTAGACCACAAGCTGAATAGGAGCCAATGGCGCTTTGCAACTTTTTGGAATTGTTGTAGACCACAAGCTGAAAAGGAGCCAATGGTGCTTTGCAGCTAAAAAAAAAGAGAAAAAAGAAAAAGAAAAGAAAAGAAAAGAAAGGCAAATGCTGGTTTTTCTGCATTAACAGAAGTACAGTCTCCAAATAATGCAGAGTACGAGTTCCTCTCTATTTGGCAATGGTTAGACTTCATCATGAATACTGTGTCCAGTTCTTTAAGAAGGATTCAGACAAACCAGAACAAGTTTTTCTCTTTTTAAATTTATTTTTATTTTCCCTCTCTTTGGATTTTTAAAAAACAAACAAACCCAAAACACCAGTGTAGATTTGGGCTGCTGTCAAATATAATGGGGAAATGGAAAGTTTCCTTTCTGCTTGCCTTTGAAGGGTCTGTACTGTGGGCCCAGGTGGGTTTATTTAATAATTTAGTAAAAGTCTGGCAATTGTCTCCTTGAGGTACAGATGAATTTTACGTTGCTCCAAAGGGATGTCCACCACGACTCTTACCCACTCAGTTTATCACTGTGTAGCTGCTTTTACAATCCATAAAGGACAAGATCCAGAACTGATGTCATGGTTGGTCCTCACCTCTCCCAAGTTTCCTGCTCACATCATGAGGTTCCACAAATTGAAACTGGGTCAGCAGGAGCCAAGGTTATTGTGAGGTTCCACCCAGCATCCAGAACTGATGTCATGGTTGGTCCTCATCTCTCCCAAGTTTCCTGCCCACATCATGAGGTTCCACAAACTGAAACTGGGTCAGCAGAAGCCAAGGTTTATGTGAGGTTCCACCCAGCGTTCCTTGTTTGTTTTCCCCAAACCAAGGTTCACTCTGGTGACATTTCCTCTTTTATCCACTGCCACCAGTGGATATCCCTCATCCACACTTGCACAATACTTGAATCAGACACTTGCTGCCAACATAACTTGTTTATTTAGATTGAATTTGAATCACAGATGTTCTTTTTAATCATTGTATAGAATCACTCATTAAAACTTCTTATCTTTGGTTACACCTTCAATTCTTCAATTGTTTATTTATTTATTTATTCACTTTAACAAACTTATTAATAATTCAGTATCAGTTCTCTCAAGATCTCTGACTATCTACCGTATATGAGATGGTTTAGAAATTCTTCCAGTTTTTCTTCACCATGGTTCCAAACTGCGAAGGTGTCATCCAAGTATCGGAACCAGACTGTGGGTGGGAAGGGTACTGACATTTGTTGTAAGGGTGAAACCTGACTCTTTCTTAGAGAGAACTTGGAGAAGAAATTGTATGAGAGATACTCTGACAATACCCATTTAAAGCAAGATCAAGCTGTTGATGTTGACAATGAATATTTATTGATCAATCAATCAATAAATCCTGTTCATTTGCATGAACCCAACTTTCTTCTTGTAGAACAGGTTATGGATGAAAGCAAACCTCATGTTCCCATTGGAAATGGGAGAATTCACAATATGGAACACAGAAGCAACATAATGAATAAAGCTTGTAGAAATAGACAAACAGATGTTTCCTGGAATCATTTCAACAATTAAAAGTTTTATATCTTGCTACCCAGATGGATTTTGATACAAATAGAATTGGTTGTCTGATTTCATTCTGGAATTAACCCTAAAGATCAAACTCCTGATCTGACAAGAGTCCAAGCCTGGCTCCACTCTGAGAGAAGGGGCACTTGGGACTGTTCATGTCAAGGCTAAATATGCCCACCTCTTTCAGTCTTTTCTCATTGTAGGGATTGGTTTCCAGTCCCCTGATCATCTTTCTTGCCCTCTGAATTGCTCCAATTTTGTTGGCATTCTTCTTAAAGTGTAGTGTCCAGAACTGGACACAGTAGTCAGGATGAGGCCTAACCAATGCCGAACAGAGAGGGACTAATACTTAATGGGTATTAGCTATTCCACCCAATTTTGTGTCATCCACAATGTTGATAAGTATTCCCTGAACTCCCTCATCCAAGTCATTAATAAAAATGTGGAAAAGCACCAGGACTGAGCACTTATTTCATCCAATACAAAAAAGGAGGTTCAGACAGTGCCCTCCTTTACGATTGAGGCCAGATATCCTTGGGACAGATTCATGAAGTTATGAGCTGCTCCTGATAGCCTAGTCTCAACATGAATTTTGAAGTCTTTAGCACCACAAGACAAGGGGATTCAAACACAGACCCTGAGACCAGAGCGACTAGTTGTTAAGGGAGTGTGCGTCTGCAGTGGGATGGCTGGTATACCTTATATATCTTATTCTGTCTTGAGCACCCACTTTCAGAAACAAACACTTGTACCTAGCAGACTGTGGGACAGAACACCTGGTAAGGGGAATGGAATCACAATAGACCACTCTCCCTCTGCCCCTCTAGGTCTTGCCAGAGTATCCTGGGGGACAGAACTTGGAGAGATAAAATTCCTCTGACTTCATCAGCAGGCTCAGCCAGGATTAGGTCCTGAGTGGTTGCTCTTTAACCCTTCACTGACTTGACATTTGGATTAGTGAAGAGTAAGGCAATATACCTCAGCACAGTCTGGAAGGATCACCATGGTAACCTCTATCTGACTGGAGAAAACTGTTGTCCTCAAGGCTTTGTTTGGCATCACTTTACCCATCAAGTAAGCAGAAAATGGAGTCACATTTACTCCTGATTAAGCAATTCCTTCCAGGTTGAACAATGTGGTGAAAGGAAATTTATAACATTACCTTCCTATCATCTGACTTCAACTCTGCCCAGTATATATAAGCACAGAGAGAGGGTGTGTGATGGAGAGTCATGGTAGTGTGTCCCTGCCCATGCTTGTATGGAGGCCTCCAAATGTCATTTCCCAGTGTGAACGTGGGCTTGGGCCAGAGGATATTACCCAGCACTATCACAAAGGATTTTCTACTCTCCACCACCCATAATTGAAACAGAGTTTTATCCATGTGGTGAATTCCAGCAAAGTTTTTGCACTGTCCATCAACTTCTTCTCAGGTTCCCAATCTATTGAAAAAGGTGGAACCACTCTAATTACTGTCTGGCTAGAAATTAGTGGTGAGCCTTCTTCTGCTCATTGTGATTCAAGCTGTTGCCGTGTACCTGTGATAATGAATTCTTATTTCTATTGCCTTGCAAATTTAGCAATTCATGCCTTCCCACCCTTGTCATGAGGATTAGAAGTCAGCTCTTTTGGTCTCTAAGAGACCAAGGGAGAGAAACTTTTGCTGCCTGATGAGGTTGAGGGGAGGGGAATAGTTTAGAGGGGGGGAATCTAATGGAGCTACAGAGTGATGATAAAAGTCACTGAGAGAGAAAAAGTGGAGGGAAGGAAAGAAGGAGCAAAGGTAAAGAGAAAGAATACTGAGGTGGAAAAGAGTAAAGGGTTTCAAGTTCACATGAAGCTAGCTGAGAGAGAAAAAGTGGAGGGAAGGAAAGGAGGAGCAAAGGTAAAGAGAAAGAATACCGAGGTGGAAAAGAGTCGGTTTCAAGTTCACATGAAGCTAATACTGGATAAGCAGGAAGGATGAGGAAGGCAAAAATGAGTATGAAAGAAGAAGGTCTGTAACCTAGTCAAAGCTGATCCAGGCTCCATGAGGCCTTTGTGGAAGAAAAAGAGGGCAGAAGAAGAGAGAGCAGGCCAGGGTGAGGAGCGGAACTGATGGCTTTCTAACCTAATGACAGAAGTTGGATACAAGCACTAATTACACGATGTCTCTTTCATCTAGTAGATAAGAGCACAGGGTGAGCATGATGTTTGCAGCCTTCTATGCCTTGGTGCCTTTGCTGTCCAGTTTCTGGTACAGTCTGGAGCACTACCAGATCTCAGAACCATCATGAAAAGCCTCTCATTCCTTTTGAAGTGGATCAATCACTGTAACAGTAGCCCTGCTTGGCCAGCAGGTCCTGCCAGTGCTTCTAGGGAGGTCAGGGCTGCTTGGAGGAACAGGCTGTGAGCAACATCTGAAAACAGGGCCCTGGGCAAGCTTCTTTCATGCAGGACAGTCAAGAAGGCAAACAGGTGCTTAGAGGAGCTAATGTTTCTGTGAGCTGAAAGTGACCTGTGTGTGCTGCAGGAAAAAACTGGAAGATACTATAGAAACCAGAAGTATTGGAAGGCCTTTAAGAATAACTAGTTTTTATTTTGCATAAGCTTTCCTGAGTTCAAGCACAATTCTTCAGATGAATGGATTGGCTGTTCTCTGGGAGAAGCTTAAAACTGTTGGCAGGAAAAGCTTGTTGGTCCTTAGTGAAGAACACCTTTAAGGGACAATAGGCAGTAGTTAATTTCATGATAGTGGTGGTGATTAGGGTATGTGTGGGTGATGAAGATCCATTCCATATGATTGGATTAGGCAACCACTGTCTTTGTTAAGGCCAAGAGAGAGTGTGTTGAACTTTTGGATGTATACCTCCTCAGTGGCCTCTCTTTGAAGTTTTTTTATTCAAGAACTCTAACTCTGGGATCAGAAAAAGCATATCTAGGAACAGTGAAGTGTTTGCCCACTGGTTTCTAGATATTTTTATTCCTAATGTCCATTTTGTGCCCATTTATTTCTCTTATATAGGCACTGTGCAACCAGTCACTTTTTTGTTGCTTCAATATTTTCCCTGATAAGAGAAAACACAGAGGCAAAATAATAATAATGACGAATGTCAGGTCTGCAAAGAGGAGGCAGTGATAAAGGACATCTGGTGATCTGAATCCCCAGTAAACTTTAAAGCAATAAAGCAGTGGAATTGCACGGTAAAGGCCTATTCTGAAATTATTTTTGTCATTTAAAGGATTTAAGGAAAGCAATAAATAGTAAGAGCTGAATTATTATCAAGGTGGCTGGGTCTACCATTGGGCAGGGTAAGGCAGTGCATTTGGGGAATCCTGACAGGGCAGCATGTGGTTCATTATTTAATTTGTTATTAATGTAATTGTACTGACAGGGATAGGAAGAGCTGCTTGAAGGATTTTATATCTCAAAAGATTGAAACTTCTCAATCTATAAGCTGCCATAAAAAAAAACATATGTGCTAAGAAATGGAAGCCAGTTGATGCACCAGCTGCAAGGAATCAGCTTTCAAAATGCCTACACAACTGTCAAGACCAAATTGAACATCTTTAATACTCCTCAGGAAACAAAACAGAGCAATCTACTGTTTTTTTTTAAATCAATGCTCACAGTTCTGCTGCTGAAATTAACATGAGAAAGAAAACATTGTACCAAATCATGCTTTTTTTAATTTTACAGGTGAGTAAAAAAGATGATTGAAATCATTTCTTTGAGTTGGACTTAAACTGTGTGTGGACTGGAACCTCCAACCCAAGGGATTTGGAACCTGGCCTATTGCAGGTTTCCCAGTGACCTTGTGCTGCTCCCCAACTCTCCCTGAAGTTCATGCCTGCAAGAAGGGTGCCTTGCTATCTCTGATCAGAGACCAGAGGAGACTCGGGGACGCTCTGAAACTTACAAGGGGATCCCTGCTGGTCTCTCTGGTACCTGACTTGAAAGAGGAGAGACTCTCGCTGCCCCAGTGTTGAGAGATTGCTCCATCTTCTCTCTCCCTGAGCATGTAGGCAAAGAAGAAATGCAGTTTGGGCTTCAGGTGACACATCTATGAATGAAGCTGATGGGCCACTAGGTGAGAATTACTCACCCCCTCCCCACTTCCTTTTCCCTAGGCAGGAAAAGAGGAGGAGGAGGAGGAGGAGGAATGCTGCTGGCTGAGAGCAACAGACTGCTTTCTTTTCTCTTTCTCAGTCCTCCATCGGATGCTCCAAGGATGCTGTCTCCAGGGAGGAGGAGAAGGAGGAGGCAAAACCTGGGTCCCAACCAAATCACCGCATGGAAAACTTCTCCTTGGAGGACTTGGACCACATCATCTCGCCTGTAAAAGTTCTGGGAGGGGGAGAACCCTTCCACACTCCACTTAACTTCCCCACCCTGGTGCACTGGCTGTGCACTGAGAGTAGGTTTAGCCACAAGATGTATTGGAACCTTTTCTTTTTTGGCTCATAATTTGTGTTTTTAAAAGATGGCAAGGAAGACACAATCAGGATAGACTCAAATACTGTAATCTGATTTACTTCCTGTGTCCTGAGCAAAGGCAGAGGCGGCACAGAGCACAAGGAGACTTTTCTCAGAACTCACTCCCACACCATCTTATTTTATCTGATCAGATCTTGACGCCTCCTTGGATGGGTATGTAACCGGGCAAACTGAACTAATTTTGGAAGGTTTGTTAACATTCAGTCCAGTCCTATCATTAAGGAAATTCCACTCTGGATCATTCTGCTCCTTCCCCCAGGACCTTCCCTCTTATATAGAGGGTTCTAAAAACCTCTTAGACTGACTTATCAGATTCCCAGAAAGATGATCATGTCTTCGCCTCTCCTGTTCCTCACTGTGACTTCCTCGGTGAGTATTTTCTACAGAGAAGTAGAGTGGGGGGGGGGGCAGCTGCTTGCTAGCTGAGACTGGATTGGAAACACCCAAAGTGTGAAATGCTCAGTAATGCTCATTTCTGACCTTATGAAGACTGACACTACAAAGCGGGAGCAAGAGCTTCCAACTGTTTCTTTGTCTGGACTACAACTCCCAGATTCCCCAGTCAGTGTAGCCATTCTCAACATAATTTTCTGTTGTAGTTCAGAGGAACAAGCTAGATGGTAGCAAACTCTTAAGTACTTCAGTAGAAAGTAGAAAACTCATGCTTCCATAAAATGGAGCCAGAAGAATTAAAGCAAACTAGAGTAAGCCCATTGTATCAGTGGGGTTTCATTCCAAAATAACTTACTATTTTAAAGTAGGTTGCAGCTAGACTAGGTCCATTTGAATCAATAAAAGTTCTGGAGGAGCTGACTCACCAAATCGCTACTGATGAATGGCCCTACTCTAGTGCAACTTGCCACACGAAGCCACAAGATTTCAGGCACTGAAATTAAACTCTAATGACAGCAGTGCTGTTAGTCAGGATAGAGTCTGATTTGGGGGTTGGGGTTCAACCTATTCTTGAAGAGGCTGCGGTCATCCAAATGGTTATGTTTGTAGGTTGTGGGGTGCTGTTTTGTTCTGTGTCATCTCTGGAGTGCCATGTGGCAGTAGTCATGTTTTAACCTAACTCCATTTAGTGCATCAGCCACAACTTTTCCTGAATTGCCCTGACTTAGGATGTATCCATGCCTTAGTGACATCAGCCTTGACTACTGCTATGTGCTTTACATGGATAATCTTTGAAGAGGATCGAGGAGTTTCTGTTGATCCAGTTCAAGCTGCTTACTTGAGCATGGTATTCAGATTGCATGACCCCGATCGTGAAGGACCTGCACTGGTCACCAGCTGCTTCCCAGGCCTAATTCAGATTAATTTTAATTTTAAAGCTCTAAACCGCTTCAGATCTGGCTGTCTGGAGCATACTGTATCTCATAAACGTGTCTAAATTTTACAGCATTCATGAGAGGCCCTTTCGTGACTGGCAACACTTGCCGAGAGGCCCCTTGATGTGCACACGTGTAAGGCTTTTCTCTTGCATTGCTCCCAGTTTATGGAATACACTCCCTTCAGATCTGCAGTCAGTCCCCACTGCTTTTAAGATAGCCATGAAAATACATTTCTTCAAAGTAATCATTTCAATAAATGCTAAGAGTTTTAACATATCCCAGTAGGTCTGGGTTTATCACAGTAATCATTTCAATAAATGCTAAGATTTTTTTTATGTTAATAAGTTGATTATGATTCCATCTAAATTATACTATGGGTATAGTATGGTTTTGCTTTTTATGACATTTAATTATCATTGTAAATCCTCTTGAGTACTGCTATTTAGTAGAAACAGGTAGAAATGATGTGGTAACACACCGCTAAAGGTAAAGGTAAAGGCTCCCCTTGACAATTTTTGTCCAGTCGTGTCCGACTCTAGGGGGCGGCGCTCATCCCGCTCTTCAAGCCATAGAGCCAGCGTTTTGTCCGAAGACAATCTTTCCGTGGTCACATGGCCAGTGTGATTTAGACACGGAACGCTGTTTACCTTCCCACCGAGATGGTCCCTATTTATCTACTTGCATTTGCATGCTTTCGACCCGCTAGGTTGGCGGGAGCTGGGACAAGCAACGGGCGCTCACTCCGTCGCGGGGATTCGATCTTACGACTGCTTGGTCTTCTCACCCTGCAGCACAGGCTTCTGCAGTTTAGCCCACAGCGCCATCACGTCCCTTTACCACCGCTACCACCAGCAAAATAGTTATTTCTGTTTTTTAAAAATATCATTTTTTTCCTGCAAATATGTGTCCTGTGGGAGATCACAGGGGAAGCAAAAGTTGGTTACTGGAAACTCTAAAATTGCTCATCCCAGACCATATAACAGGAGGGGGGAAACCAGACACATAGAGCAGTTTTTTCTTATTCACAGCATCCAGATTCAGGCAAGGTCCCTTAGAAGAAAAGGGTTGGTTGGGCCAGGCAGAAAGCAGTGGTCTCGAATGAGGGCTAAGAGGAGAGGGCTTGCTGCCTTAAAGGAAGAAAGTTGGTCACCATTCTCAGCAAATCCTACCCTTAAGGTTCTTCTTCATTCAAGGTGGAAGCAATCCAAGGGTGCTTCTGGAGTGGAAGAATCATGGCCAGAGGATACCTGAATGTATTCACAAAATCCCCAGATTCTTCAGGGAGACTCCTTCTTTGTCCAACTTCCACTATGAGGAACGAAAGGGCCATGAACTGAAGAGTCCCACTGCTGACCTCTGCTCTCATTTCGGTTTATCTTTTATCACAGGTTGCTGCAAGTCGTTTCACCCTCAGTGAAATACCGGTACCAAGGCAAGCAGAGAATGAATGCATCTGCAGCATAGTGATCCCTGACAGCTTCCCTTCACAAATGATCGATTTTGCAGAAGATGCCCTCAGGAACCTGACCCAGCTTGTCCAAGAGGAGATGGAGAAGGTGAGGGCCCATTTTAGGCTAAAGAATTTCCCATGGAACTGGGATTCCAATCCTGCCTGGATAAATACCAGTACAAACCACAAAAGGTCCCTTAGAACAAATACAGTATTCCAATTAAAAGCAATAACAACAGAATCCCAGCTTTGCTGTCAAAATTGGATGGCGAGGGAGGGGTGGAGGGTGAAAACACAAGGCATGGGTCCTACAACTCACTTCTGGTCCAAGACTGAAATCTCTGAGTGGGGAAAGAATGAGTTATCCTCACAATTACAGTGAGAGGTAGATGAGTCAGAAACATGGTGACTCGCCCAAAGTCACACAGAGAAGCCATTATTTAAGCATATGTTATGTGCGGTCATAAGTCACTTCTAGCTTACACTGATCTTCACAGGGTTTTCAAGGTATGTCAGATGTTCAAGGAGGAGTTTGCCCTCACCCTCCCATGCGTTTCCATGGCCAACTGGTGATTTGTAACCCAGATTTCTTGAGTCCTAGTCTGAGGCTCTATATACGACACAACACGAGCTTTCCAGCTTAATTTTAGGTTTCTCTAATCTAAAATCAACATCACATCAACATGCCATATAGGGATGTTGAGAGCAGCAAGGCCATAGGTGTAAAGGCAGGGACTGACCTTAGGTGACCTTGACAGCTTCCTGGTTGAGCAAGAACAGGAATGCAGGTCTTCATCACTGGAACGTGAAGATCTATCTGCTGTAATAGACACTGGTTTTCAATACAGAATGTTTCTACACTGCAGCTCCTGTTAGTAGAGATGAAGCTATGTTTTCCTGTAACTTTCTGGTAACAAAGTTAAAACTGAGGGCAATAGCATTACATTCTATAGCAGACCCTTTTCCCTATGATTTGGAACAATCGTGGGCATCCTGCAGCCCTCCAGATATTGCTCACTACGACTTCCATCAGTCCAGACCAGTATAGCCCTTATGGGAGATCCTGGGATTTGAGATATGATCTCCCATCTGTTAACCACAGATCCAGGATTACTGAAGAATAGTCATAAAATCTACAAGGTCAGTCACAGAAAAAACTGATAATTGACGTTTCTTAGAGGGGTGCAGAAAGGGAGGTACAATTTAATTGAAGAACCATTTTGCAAACTTTCCCCCTTTAAAAAAAGAAAGCTGAAATTCTACTACACACTTGTTAAAGCTGAAATGGACTGTTTTGTGACCAACTTGTGAATTTTTTTTAAAAAAAATTATAAATTAGGTCAGAAATGTTTAAGTGGTCAAGAACAATTATATGCCGCTACAATCCTAGCAATTTTTAAAGACAATGACTTGTTTTAAATGATGTCTTTATTTAATGATATAATGCTCTTTAAGTGCTGCTGAGCAGTAACCCCAATTTTGGTTAAAAACATAGCCACAAATGTATTTTAGCACTAAACTATACTTTTTTTTAAAGTGAGGGATTGCGTAGTACTCATTTTATCTTGGAAAGGTAATAATGAATGTGTGCCAAATAGCAATAGTCTCATGAATCTAAGATGTTACTGCAGGTATTGAAAACCACATCATTTTGGGGGGGGGAGCCAAAATTCATATTGTGGTACTACATTTATGAGGCCAGCCAAAAAAGTGCTAACTTTCAAAATCTCTAGAATTTTTCATTAGACATGTTGTTGTGAAATATAACAGAGAAAAAGCATCATCAGGCATTACATTTCATTAGAGCCACCTCTGGGATGTCCACAAGCAAGAAAGAAAATTTGGAAGATTCTCCATTTTGAAATCACAAAGCCACCCCATGATTCAGAACTCTCCTCATCTGTCTTGAAGTTCCTTGGTTTTTTTTTCTTGATGGAGAGCAAAGGGAAACCAAGTCTTTTGTATAAATGAAAGAGAAGTAACACTAAAAACCCTGCATAGCTGTGGAGATTGTGCTGCTGTTTTGTTCTGCTCAGTAGAATTCATTTTTCTGTGGGTACGCTAAGCTGTGGAAAAACTCAAGGGGACTACAGTCTGATATTTGGACTTCCCTTTAAAAAAAAAAGGTGAACAAGGCCCAGAGTTCAATCACCCAGGCTCTAGTGTGGGAGTAAAGATGGTTATGGAAATATGGTTCTGGGACAGTGGAAATGTGTTTGTGATATTCTGCTAAGGGAGTCAATGGGAAATGTTATTTTACATTTTTCTAGATTATACCAATCATTCAGAACATAACATCATATAATGATGCAGTGAATAATATGACAAATGCTATACTAGATATAGAGACAAATGGCATCAAGGATGAAGCAGATTATCTGAAAACTACAAATGAAATTGGCAAGCTGGCAAATGCATCTGACTTTCTCGTCACTCTCCTAAATGAAACAGATGATGTGATTGAGAACATCCTTAACCAGGTAATGAAAAATGTTCACAACGGCAATATGAGTTGGGAAAGATTAGTTTTTTGGACTACAGTTGTCATAATCCACAGTCAAAATGGCCACCAGCTATGCTGGCTGGGGCTATTCTGGGAAGTGCAGGGGGGATACTGTCCAGGAGTCCAGTCAGCCTTGTCCTCACCATTATTGGCTGAAATCCTGTTGTACAACATATGCAGTGTAAGGTTGATGTCAGCAGCTGCGAAGATTTTTCGGAAATAAAAAATCCCTATTCCTCCGGAAGATCCTGAGTCTGCCTTGGAACCCTTCCATCATTAGGAAACTATTGGGAGCTATAGAATGGTGGTGGGGAGAAGCTAGTTTCCAAAAATTGCTACCAGTTGTAAAATCATTCAACTAGTGGCTATTTTTGAAAATTAAAGCCCCCTATATCCATGGCCCCCAATGCCTTCCTTAGGATAAATGGGATCCAGGGAAGCCTTGGGACCTTCCAGGGGGATCAGATGTGTTGGATTTCCAAAAACATCAATGTGACTGATGACATCATTAGCCTTACATGGTGTAAGCTAAATCAACAGGATTTCAGCCACTGTGTTATTGGGGCCTCATAGAAGAAACATATGTATTTGCTAACCCTATAGTAGGGTGAGTGGAATCAAGTCTTGCTGTTCAGTTCTGAACTAAAACACATTATCCCTGTGCAACTGCAGAAAAACATCATCATACAGGAAGAAAAAAGGCATCTCCCCAACCCCCAAAACATGATCTTAATGTTTACATTTAGGTTATTATAACCTGTTGAGCTATGCCCATGTTACAAGATGGCAGGGACTGGATGCAATATTTCATAACCATTTGAGAATTTAAGACATCCATTATTGTTTCTCTTGATCAAGTAAAAGTCAGTGATCCAGACTCACTGACTTGCTTGCTCAGAGAGGACAATCCTTGGGAATGTCTCTAAGCCTAAGCTATGGCAGACATGTAATCAAACACGAGCAATTATTTGAAAAATCTGAAAACAGGACATTTTAATCTAATTCCTTTGAAAAGGGGAAATCACACTGTCTTCAAGTGTTTCCAGACCAGCCAGCATGTTGACATTTAGCACACACATAATTCAAGATGTCTGGATTATAAGAAGATTTGAAAACTTTTCATCCTAATATCCAAGAAAGAAAAAAAAGAAAGAAAAAAAGACATATATAATGATGCCTTAATTCCTAAAGCGAATAAGAACAGTCAAGACAGAATGCTTGCTTTTCTGTTATTAGGAAGGACCAATGTGGCCTTAAAAAGGTAAGATTTCCACACATTACTTACAAACCAAGAGGGAATGATTTCCCCCTGCATTCTCTGCACTTCTAAACCTGCTTCAAGGAGCTAGAAACCCTCTGGAGTATTTTCAGAGATTGTAGGGAGGTGAGGAGGGGAAGAAATATACATTGTACTAGCATATGATTAGATTTAAGCCAGGAAGCTCCATAATATGGGGAAGTAGTCCAGAATGTAGCAGTCAAAACTGTTGTCCATCTGTACACTTGAATAAGCTCTGGTATGGTTTCCAAAGCAGCCAGCAATGCAAATTTGAGCTCAACGCATGCAAGCAAAATTTACTAATATATTGTGTCACTCAGATTCTCAGAGTACTCAGATAATCCAGAATGCAGTGTTCACCCACTTTTGCTTAGGAAAGATATTGCTGTAGACTTATGGTAATGCTTTTATTTACAGACATTCTGAGTGAGCATAGAGGCGCCAAACAACTCTCACACAAAAGACTGCCAAATATGCTGTTTCACACCATACTGCTCAGAGACAGTCTTCTCCCCAAATGCTTACAAAGATCCAGGCTTAGCTCTCTATGTGTCCCACTCAGAATCTGCTTTCTTCTATTATTTACGGAGGCACCAAGATTATGTCTTAATCACACAGAAAATCTAGCAATTGAGTTATTATGCAATTGCCCTATACTGGAAAGGGAGAATAGAACTGCTGGATAGCTGTATTTACGGAGGCACCAAGATTATGTCTTATTCACACAGACAATTGAGTTATTATGCAATTGCCCTATAAAGGAAGAATAGAACTGCTGGATAGCTCAGTGATTTAGGCATCTGGGTGTGGAGCCAGGGGTTGGGAGTTCAATTCCCTTCTTTGCCTCCTTGATAGGGGCTAGACTCGGTGATCCATAAGGTCCCTTCCAGCTCTGCAGATCTAAGATGATGGTGATGATACTTGTCAACTTTGCCAAGACTGCCAAGTGTTTCCAAGAATAGCTCTGGTTCCATTAAATGACCAAATTCCCCATCTTACAGCAACTATTGATATAGATGCTTGGCCCTCTCTCATTTAATCACTTCTGGGGGCAACAAATTGTAAATGCACTGCCACAGCACAAAGAGAGCTGCTGTGGCAAAATGTTGGTCTTGCCCAATTTTTATCAAACGCACGCTGCTTATGTTTCAGGTCAACAATGTCTCCAGTGTGGTGTGGCAGCTAGAAAGTTTTGATAAGAATGGGGTATTGGTGACACACAGAGAAATGGCTGCCCTCCGGAAACAACTGGCTGAGTGTGAAGATGCTATAACAAACCTCAACTTTGGTGTACCTGCAGTTGGCCGGTTGACTCATGAGTATGGTGAGTACTTGCAATGGGCGGGGATCTTGCTAGTTGTAGGCTGGAAGTGAAGTGTAAAAAAGCCAAGTGTGTTGCTTATATACCGCCCCATAGCTCTTAAAGTACTGTCTGAGTGGTTTACAGTTTAATTATGTAGGCTACACATTGCTCCCTGCTTCCACAAGCTGGGTACTCAATTTACCAACCTCAGAAGGATGAAGTGAACCTTGAGCAGGCTACTTGAGCCTGTCAAGACTGAACTCAAGTTGTGAGCAGAGTCTTGACACGCACTGCACCATGAGGCTCCTAGAGTGTGACCCTTTACATGGACTTGCCTGGAAGGTTCATTCCACTGATGTCTGAGCACTTAAAACACTTAAGCCTCTTGCTTTTCATTACTAACCAACCACAGTGTGTACATATACAGGTGTACCTGACCCAAGTGTGTCTTTAGAGTCACCTGAAACTTGAGTTCATCATACATTCATCATACTGACTCATTCTTTTGACCTCTTTTCTTACCAGAGCAGTTTGCAGCCTGTATGGGTGGTGATTAGTAGAGAAGAAATTTAGCAATACAGTGGTGCCCCGCATAGCAACGATAATCCGTGCAGCAAAAATCATCGCTATACGGATTCGTCGCTATGCGAAAATAAAAAGCCCATAGGAATGCATTAAAACCCGTTTAATGCGTTCCTATGGTCAAAAAACTCACCTTTTAAGTGAAAATCCTCCATATGGTTGCCATTTTCGCTGCCCGGTAAGCGTGGAATCCGGGCAAAAACACAGCGGGCAGTCATTCTTTTTACCCGGCAGCCATTCTGGAACCGCCAATCAGCAGTTCTAAAATCATCGCTATGTGAAAATCGGTAAGCAAAACAGCTTATCTAAAACATCGCAAAAACTTAATCGCTATGTGGATTCGTCGTTAAACGGGCCACCTGTTAAGCGAGGCACCACTGTACTCAAGATGAAAACAAAAACAAAACACAATTCTAAGCACCTTTGAAAAGAGAACTATAGTATGCAGACAGCATTTGGAAGCATTGTGTCAAGAAAAATCATGGTGGCACTGAACTTTCTTTATAAAAGAAAGGGGATAATAACTTGAGTTATCTGGCAGATGAAAATATCCATCTGCCTGAAACAAAGCAAAAACAGGAAATGCCCTCTGTAGCCTCAACCCAAAGTTTAATTCCTCTCTTATTCCCTGACAGGTAAATGTGATCAAAAAGAGATGGTGAACATTAGCAAGCCTTTCATAGTGAAGCTGAACTGGCGAGGTTTCAGCTACAAATACGGAGCTTGGGGAAAGGACTTTGCCATCAACAACAAGAATCCAGATATGTACTGGGTTGCTCCACTCAACACAGACGAACGCTTAATGGAGACCTACCGCCTCTATAACACGTACAAAGACCTGCTCTTGTACAAAAACCAAATAGAAAAAAGCCTTTCGCAATTTGTTGGCTTCAGCTGGAACTACATGAACTGTGGCCAGGGAAGTGGAGGAATCTTATACAATGGCAGCTTCTACTACAACTGTCACAACTCCAGGAACCTCTGCAAGCTGGATATTGTCACCAATAACTTCAAGCGCAAGACGATGGAGGGGGCGGCTTTCAACAACTGGTTTTCCTACATGGGTGTTAGATGGCAGGACTTTGATTTTGCCGGAGATGAGAAAGGTCTATGGGTTGTCTATTCAACAGAAAACAGCAAGGGGAAAATAACCATTGCACAACTCGATCCTGAAAACCTAGATACAATCAAGAAATGGGAAACAGCATTGTATAAGACGAATATAACCAACACATTCATGATCTGCGGCGTGCTGTATGCTCTCAAGCGACAGACTGCCCATAAAGAGACAATATTTTACACCTATGACACTAATACAGGCAAAGAAGGCACTTTAAACATTGCCCTAGAAAAACTCTCAGATACACCACAAAGTGTGAGCTACAACCCGAACGATCACAAGATATACATGTATAATGATGGCTACCTGGTTACTTATGATGTTATATTCAAGCCCCGGCCCATGACCACCTGACGGAGTGTGGCCACTGTGAATGGGCAGAATTCTCTTATGACAGTTCACAAAGGGTGGCAGCAATTTGCAGTAATATGAGACAGAGAAGGAGGGAGGGAGGGAAAGACAGCTAAGACCAGCTGTGTGTATCAGTCATCTACTGGCACAGATTTTTAACATATCTAAATAAATAAATAAATAATCCTAGGAGAATTTATGGCAAATAATGATTATACCTGTAATGATGCATTACTGGGGTGGGTGGGGTAACAAGGGCATAACAATGTTCCTTCTGCAAAAAATAATAATAATCTTTAACACTAAAGCTTTCACCGCATAATAATGCTTGTTATTTTTTATTGTTACTTAGGGGGCACTAAGAATGCATCGAGAGCCTTTTGAAGAGATTTCCCTCCCAAATTTTAGTCCATTTACTTACTTTTCAGATGGATTTCCCCCCCCCAGTAGAAAATATTCTTTTGTAAAAAAAAAAAGAAAAGAAATGAGTGGTAGGAGCTTAATTGATTTATCTTTTTTTCCTTTACAAAAAGGTGATCATACTGAGGTAGATATAGACATCTTCACCCTCACAGTTAGCATGCCCCATGTGAACCATCCAGCAGCCCTTCCCGTGGGAACACCAAAGGCAAATGTTTCACAGAATTTTCTTTTTCTGCATCAGGATACAAAGGTCTTCATGTTCTGAATGGCTCCAGCTGAATCTTCCTTGTACAACATGAAATGTCCTTGTACTTGTGCTGCACTGATCCGATCAGAGACTGACAGGGCGCATGTAGCAAACTCCTCAGCCAGAGCAGCCGGTTGGTCTGGATAGAACCTCTGGAACATGCGTTCAAGCTGCCACTGTGAACAGTATCCTACATACTGCTTTAGGTCTATTCGGCCAGGGCGAACCAAGGCTGGATCTAGCCTGCAGGGAAGGGGAGAAAGACTAGTGAGGGCACTCAGAAGAAGCACAGTTGGCAAATGTGCAAATCTACACAAAAGACACCTGGTCCAGGTGGTCTCATCATGCTGTTCCCTGGAAAAGTCCAAGGAGAAAGAGGACTAGGAAATCTTTGCTCACTCTTTTTAGAATCCAAGTTTAGATTTTGCTCTTCTTTGGGAATGAATAGCAGATAATAATGTATTGTTACAAATAAAAATAAAATTAAAAAGCAAAATAAAATGGAACCTGTATTGCCATTTTGTTTAACCCCAACAGTACCCTAGCTAGATGACACTCAATGCAGCTCAAAAGGCTGCACAAACAAACCTGCAGAAATGTTGGCCAGAATCCTGTTGGTTCTTTACACTAGCATAAGTGCAATAGTGTAAATCATATCAGCAAATTGCTACTAGCTCACAAGTTGCTGCCAGCAGTCTTCTTCAGCCAGCAGTCAGACAGACAAACCTAGCACACAATGGAGAATACAAGTGACAATTTGTTAACTAGTAGCAATTCATGGCTGCAATTCACGCCACTGCATTTAACACAGTGAATAAACAACTAATAGGATTTGGGCCATTACCTGAGTATGATCCATCCGAACTAAAGTTATTAACAAAGATCTTATCAATAACTGCACTCATGGCCTAGCTTTACTCATGTTGCTCCTTCTCCATACCCTGCTTCCCTGACACATTGGTCCTGCCTTGCCATAAACCTAGGAGGCAGCTGAGGCATGCCCCTCTGTGGCCCTTCCTGTTCCCCGGCAGGATCGGTGTTCTGCTGCTAGTTGTGCTTGGCCCACCAAGGGATTCAAAGCATCTGCCTCAGGAAAGCTTTGGAATGTATGGCAACTGCTGGTGACAAATTGACCAATGGTAGTTCTGCAAGAACTAGGACTTCGGAGAACAAGGTTGGAATCCCTGCTCATCCATGGAAACTTTTTTGGGAAGTGAGACTGTTAAAACCTGTCCTTAAAATATCTCGCTTACCTTGAAGACCCTATTAGGGTCACAATAAGTTCTGACTTAACGGCATTTAACGCACACAGCTCTGCTGGAAGAGCCACTGAAAGCTTTTTCCAGCAGGGGACTTGAACACAGCAGGTGGGAAGGGGAAAGGAAAAGGTTCAGTAATATTGTCATGGCATTGACATTGTCACTTTTGTTGACTAGCACCTTCCATGCAGAAACAATGAGAGGCATTCCTGGGGGCTACCTTGTGTTTGGAAGGTAGCAAAAGAACGGCTACGAACTTTATGAAGCTGATAGCTGTTCTCTTTCCCCCCCCCCTTCCCGGTTCTATCAGGGTCCCTTTGATTTAGCTTCACTAGGAGCAAAGAATCCCAATCAGTTAGACCATTGTAAGTTTCGGCAACTGCATTAGTTGGTCCATAAGATTATTCCCAAAGCAAAAGGTGACTTATGATGAAAGGTTACCTCCCTGCCCCCTTTTCTTGTGCAACAGTTCTGACCTGTCTACATGGTTGGTTGTCATAAACACTATCCTGGCTTCAGAGGAAGCGACACCATCCAGCGCGTTGAGAAGGCCGCTGAAAGTCAAGCGTCCCATGCCTTGGTATGCAGTGGGGTCTGAAGGGAAACAGCAGGACAGAGACAGCTCAGATGTAGGTGAATGCAGTACAGTATTAGATATGACTACTGGCAGCCCAAATTCTGCCTTGGTTTACAGCGGGACCATCCAGGCCTTCAGATGCTGATGGAATAGAACTCCATTAGATCTACCGCCAATGGTGGGGGATGCTTGGAGTATCTCTACATGAGTACCTCCACAGAGTGTGATCAACAATCTAAGCCAGAATCAGGTGGGGGCAACAGAAAAGGGTAGCATTCAGCCATAGAGCCTAAAGGAGCCCATTTGCCTATCACTCACTTTCAGCAGCAAGGTCTCGACTCACAAAGGCAGCATCCACATCTTCCAGGAGGATGATGCTTTGCTGAGGGGCTACACTCAGCAGGTGGTTGAGACGATCATCTGAGATACTCCGGTCACTCAAGCTCAAGAGACAGATACTGTACTGCAACTCTCCAGCAAGAGCTGTGCTGTGATGGAGACAAAAGGGGGAGAGAGGGAGAAAAAGAGATTTTTCTAGTGCAAGTAAAATCACCTTTGAAGAGAACCAGGCTAAGCAGAAGGAATGATGTTTCCGATCTTGGATCACAGAAAAGTACCTAAGGTGTTCAGGGAATCTAGAAAGCATTACTCTATTCAACTTATGCTATCACTCAGTGCTCTTGTGTGCATTCCTCACTTCCTTCTGGCTGCAAAGCAGGTAAGAACAAAGGATCCACTGAAAAGCAAGAGAAAGGAACATATGGTGATTGCAGGAAAGAATTGTGAGAAAAGGAAAGGCAGGGTTCTGGAGATCTTAGATTAAATTAGTCATCCCTTCAGTCTCAAGAGACTATGGTCATGTCCTCTGAACAGAGGACTTGGAACAGTGTCTAGTGTGGCTGAGAAGTCCAATTTGAGAGTGACAATCCCTTCCACACTGAAGACAAATACAAACTGTCCCCTGCCCAGCTCCCTGTTTTTGCTGGTTTCAGGACTGCCTCTTCTTCAGATGAATGGATTGGCTGTTCTCTGGGAGAAGCTTAAAACTGTTGGCAGGAAAAGCTTGTTGGTCCTTAGTGAAGAACACCTTTAAGGGACAATAGGCAGTAGTTAATTTCATGATAGTGGTGGTGATTAGGGTATGTGTGGGTGATGAAGATCCATTCCATATGATTGGATTAGGCAACCACTGTCTTTGTTAAGGCCAAGAGAGAGTGTGTTGAACTTTTGGATGTATACCTCCTCAGTGGCCTCTCTTTGAAGTTTTTTTATTCAAGAACTGTAACTCTAGGATCAGAAAAAGCATATCTAGGAACAGTGAAGTGTTTGCCCACTGGTTTCTAGATATTTTTATTCCTAATGTCCATTTTGTGCCCATTTATTTCTCTTATACAGGCACTGTGCAACCAGTCACTTTCTAGCTAAGGAATCGCATAGTGATTCGCAAAACAGTCATCCCAATGGGGGATTTTCGCTGGACGTCGATTAGGTCCATGCTTCGTGAACCATTTGTTCACAAGACGACAATTTTTTTGGTTTCGCAAAATGGCTGACCTGTGTTTTCCGGACCCATGCTTCGCAGGGCAGCCATTTTTACAGCTGATCGGTGCTCGCAAAATGGCTTCCCTACGGGCGATCTTCACTGGACTACGAGGTATTTTCCCCATTGAAACGCGTTAAGCCGGGTTTCAGTGCATTCCATTGGGGAAAGGATTTTCACATGACGACAATTTCGCTAAACAGCAATTTTCCTAGGATGGATTATCGTCGTCATGCGGGGCACCACTGTACTTAAATGTAGCAAATTCTATCACCAATTCTATTTGGGTCCAGTTCTATAGTTCTAGATCACTGGTTCTTAACCTTGGGTTACTCAGGAGTTTTGGACTGCAATTCCCAGAAGCCTTCACCACCAACTGTGCTGGCTGGGGTTTCTGGGAGTTGCAGTTCAAAAACATCCGAGTAACAAAGGTTAAGAACCACTGTTCTAGATGACTCAGCATCTAAAGGGAAAGGCCATAATAGGTCATAATACAGTACAGTCAACTGTTTGAGATGCATAAGCAGTTTCACTATAGGGATCATGGATTCAGGTTAACAGCCCTCCTCAGTTTGCTTGCTGATAGAAAAACTAGTGTACTTTTAAAGCCTATTTGCATCTCATCCCCACAAGCACCACGTTTTGTTTACCTATCTGCAAACATCAACGCACACTGGGAAGGGAACTGGGACACTCTGGAAACAGCTTTCTTAGTAGGGAAACTGAGGATGTGTACTCACATAAAACTACTCTTTCCACAGCCTGGGGGTCCATATAGCAAGTATCCTCTCCGATAGGGGATTCCTATGGCCAAAAAAAAAGATTGTAACAAGGACAGACTCTTTGGTGGGGAACTAAATGAGGGTCAGAATTGGGATAATTTCTAATACCTGAGAAATTAAAGAGCATCAACAGTTACAAAAAGGCCAAATGGTGCTATCATATACTTCAAAGGAATATGGTCCTATCATATACTTCAAAGTGTTGCAGTGGTACTCTGGATGGGACACCACAGGGACTAGACAGACTGAAAAGTGAGAGGAGTGTTTCTTGACTGATGAATGGGATATCCTGGTTCCATGCTCAGGGTGCAAGGACATTGCATAAATGCAAGAAGTGCCATGGGACTGGGATGGGCTGCATTTTTCCCATTGATCACATGATATAAAAGCCTGGAGTCCCACTGCATCTGTAGCTTTTGCCTCCACTGCTAGGTCTTCTTTTTTTTACCATCAGATCCATTCGTATCAGTTCAGATGACTGCTTGAACTGACAAAGAATACTGTGATATTTCCCTCTCTTCATTCCCTTCCAGGCAGCATATGCCACTTCTTTCTTTCTTTTTAACAGCTTGGTGCCAGTGATGTTGCACTACGGTGCCTAGGCATTAAAAATAATAATAATTTTAAAAAGAAACAGAGAATGAGAAGGAAAAAAGATGAGGAAATTGCTACTATGTCCTTGTCTATAGCTTATTAAGTAGTCGTTTTGTAGCTGCACCTCCTGCAGGACTACAGGAAGCCAACATTAACAAGCTGTAAAGAAGGCTGCTTAGCCAAGTTCCTCTCCTCCCTGTGTGGCCAGCTGACTTGAATAGACCTGGGAAAGCTCAGATTTCCCAGTGCAACTTGCCAGAAAATGAATCTGCATTTCTCTCGTTGTACAGTCAAACTCTCAGTGCTACACATAAAATATATCTTACAAAGGGAAAGCTGCACCCAACTAGCCAGCACTTGAGAAACATACTCACCTCGATCAATGTACCACTTGGGGTTATTGATGAACTCTTTCACATCCTGGACAATCTTCTCAGACACCCCTTCCTCAAGCACTACAGAGGCAATTGGGCGCCGACGCCGTGGGAAACCAAATGGGCGCCATTCAGCACCCATGGCTGTGTACATGACTGTCCTTCCCTCTTGCTGCTTCAGAGCCAATTCCTTAGCTAGAAAGAATAGAATGGTTATGAATAGCAAATCTCATATTTGGAATCAGATGGAAAGAAGGACCAGAGGGGGAAAATATGTATCAAGAATCAAAAGAATGTGCTCAGTTGGACACAAACGTCCAAGGCTGCTTGTTTTCTCATTCTGCCTTGAACTATGCTATAACCAGAGAGTGCTACTTTACCTTCTTGAAGGATGTTGAAGAAAAGTTCTCGCTTTTTACCAATTGCTGTTAAGGTGACAGACTCCCAGGGGGTGCCTGTATGCAGGTCAATCATTTGTTTCTCTCGATTGCGTTCGACACGAATCCACTTCCTTTGATACCTAAAAGGAGAACAGAAAAAATCTGAACAGGAAGCAGATGAAGGGAGACAACTGGACTAGCTGCCGTGCAACTTTATGAAGCCCCTAAAGCCTGTGTCTCTAAACTTGTGCCTCTTGCAGAAATTTTCTCCCATTCAATTTTCTCCTGCAAATCAATCTGGAAGCAAGCAAGGATCATCCATGGTACTGAGTCATATTCCATAACAGTGAACATTTTCAGCAAAATATACAGATAGACATGATAAATACAGTGGTGCCCCGCATAGCGACGATAATCCATTCCAGATAAATCGTCGCTATCCGGAATCGTCGCTATATGGGGCAAAAAACCCCATAGGAACGCATTAAACCCCGTTTAATGCATTCCTATGGGGGAAAAACTCACCGTTATGCGAAGATCTTCCATCTGGGCGCCATTTTCACTGCCTCGGTAAGCGAGGGAACCGCGCGAAAATGCTGCAGGCGGCCATTTTGGAACAGCCAATCAGATGTTGGCAAAACATCGCAATGCAAAGATCGGTAAGCGAAATGCTTACCGATCATCGCAATGCGATGTTTTTCCATTCAAAACATCGTAATGCGATCGCAAAATCCGCATAGCTATGCGGATTCGTTGTTAAATGGGGCGCTCGTTATGCGAAGCACCACTATATAAATTTATCATGATAGACATGATAAATATATGATAAAGGTTCTTTCTTGTCTGCTCCTCATGCTAACATACAAACTTGTGAAACTTTTGATTTTGCAAGTCACCTATGCCTTATTTCAGACCATTCCCCTCACCTACCCATGGCATTCCGACCAACATTCAGTAGCTTCCCCAACCTTCTGGAGCAGCTGTTTGGAAGGGGAAGATGGCTACAGAGGGGAAGAGAAAGCTTGTTCAGTTATAGTCTATCTTTCTGCTGGCTACAACCCATGATAGTACTGCACAAACTAGATAAAATACAAAGATCACATTAATCAGAACCTAGACTAAGCTTCTACTTATTTAAAACATTTAGCCCACTTTTTCCACACAAACATCCGACTGACAGAATATGAAATTCATGTGATAAAAATTGCAGACCCTAATTCTAATGACATCAGCATAACTTTCAGTGATGAACAGTGGCCAGTTAAGGACTCAGATAGTTTTTCTCATCATAAAACAGTTGTATGACTTGGCACACAACTAGAGAAGCCAACTCTAACTTCTTCACTGCTGGTAAGTTGCTGCTAAAATATATACAGTGGTGCCTCGCTAGACAGTTACAGTGGGGTCTTGACTTGCGAACGGCCCGAGGTACGAACTTTTTGAGTTACGTACTTCTCCGTCCGTAAAAATCCATTTCAACTTGCGGACGGAGAATTGAGGCACGTACCAAAAAGTTTAAAAAAAAAGCGGGAAAGCACCTGGAGCCAGGTGGCGGCGACGCGGCGAGAGGCAGAGAGAGGCGGAGAGGCGGCGGCGCTGCTCTTGCTCTGGGATTGGGGCGCCTCGGGGTGTTCCGGCCGCCAGAATTCCAGCCCGGCCGGGGCCTCTGCCTGTCCTGGGTGGGCCCCGCTGAGCCGAGCTCCGGCGGCGGCAGCAAAAGGCAGCAGTGAGGACGGCGGAGGAGCC